GTTGTAGCTGTATGATTGGGCCAAGACAGAAGATGCCCCGAAAGACAGGCTGCTGACATTTTACAATCTGACCAACTGCATTGCTGAGAAGTTGAAAGGCCTTTTCACTCTGTTCGCTGGCCACTTGGTGAAACCTTTTGCAGACACCTTGAACCAAGTAAACATCTCCAAAACAGGTTGGTAGCTCCCTTGGGCCAGTTCCAGCCTTGTCCGTGTGTCTGACACAAGCAGTTAGCATGAGATGTGAAGCTCAGAAAAGACTTTCATGTCCCTTGGCTTTTCTGGTAAGGATGGTGAATTTTTACTTTATTTTATTTTCTGCTATATTAGAACAAACAATAATCAGTTGACACAGAGAAAGAATAAAGTAGACATTATTACTCATTATTGGTAATGACTTTATAATAATAAATTTGAGGCTGGAGACAGTTCATTGGTAGAGTGTTTCCTCGATATAGATGAGATTGTGGGTTCCATCCTTGGGTTTGGATTGGTCTATCCCCCACTAATAAGCAGCTGAAGTGACTGAACTTGCCCAACTAAGAAGCATCACAGTCTTCCCTGTGAAGGAGAGCCCCATTGTTTGTAGTTCCACCTTTTACAGCTTCTAGGTCATTTCGACAATCTCTTCTGGTTGTAATTGTGACAGTGTTCATAAACACCAGGAACTGAGTCGTGTTTTCCACTTGTACTCTTTCCCTGCATACAGATGAAGCATTTTTTGACTCTGAACAGGACCCTGAAAAGTGCTGCTTGTTGTTGCAGTTTATCTTAAACTGCTTATACAAGATCTTCCTTTTTGACACCCAGAATTTCATGAGTAAAGAGAGAGCAGAAGCCTTGATGATGCCTCTGGTGGATCAGGTAACCCCCTGGATAGTCTCTGGTCACTGCCTGGACTGGTCTTTGCAGTTTTAGGTGTGCTACATGGTAGCTTGCAAGGGTTTTTTTATAAGGTGTTTTTTGGGGGAGGGATCTGTTACGAAAAGGTATGTTGACTATCAACTGAGCCTCACTGGGCATGGTTGCCCCCACAGGAAAGTGCCAGAGGGAGTGCTTGATGCTATTTGAGCTCCAGAGGGAAGAAATTGGCCATAGAGACAAGATTAGGGTGGGGGAACCTACTTTTTGAGTCTCCTAATGTTAGGAAAGGTGATAAAACACACATCAAGGGTATGTTCAGGCACAAGGAAAATGTGACCTATTGCTGACACCCATGTGTCTCTCTTCACAGCTGGAAAATAGGCTTGGAGGAGAAGAGCGGTTTCAAGAACGGGTGACAAAGCACCTAGTTCCCTGCATTGCACAGTTCTCTGTGGCTGTGGCAGATGACTCCATGTGGAAACCCCTCAACTACCAGATTCTGCTGAAGACAAGAGACTCCTCCCCTAAGGTAAGGACGTGGGTCACAGTCTCTGAAGCTGAAGCCGCATCCCCCATGGGTGTGGCCTGAATGCCCACCTATAGGCATAGATGATGCCTGTTCCAGGGCAGTGATAGGGAGAGCCTGGCCCTAGGCCTTTTAACTAGAGATCTGAGCTACTGTGTAATATAGCATCCTAGCCTTTATAAAGAATTCTTGGGCTGGGGATAGATAGCTCAGTTGATGAAATGCTTGTTGTGCATGCACATGACTCAAGTTTGATCTCCAGATCAAACATACATGCTGGCATGTATCTGGGAGTTGAGACTTGCCAAAAAAATAAGATGGTGGTCCCTGAGGAACAACACTTGAAATTCGTCTCTGGCCTTCAGGTGCATGTGCACACAGTGTACATGGCACCCACCACACACAAATTCATATACCCATATAACACTGTATATGTGATAAATCTTTAAAAAAGAAGAATTCCAAGTTATGCCTTATTTTTTAATGTCACTGCACCCTGAGATAAATGAATACTCCTTTACTTAGAGCAGAAATAAGTCCCATGGTATGTTGGGTGAAATTAATATTCCTTATCTGGAATTTTCTAGCAGTTTTATTAATAAATCACCATCTCACAAACTTTCTTATGAGAATCTCACTGGGTAAATAGCCCAACCAGACTTTTATTATATTTATTAGGCATTCTCACACAGTTGCAGAAACAAATTTTAGTATTTTATTTTGATTACATACTAAGAAAATCTTCATTAAATATAATTATGAAAATTATTCCAAATTAGAAAAGGGACTGTTTTGTTTCAGTAGCCTGCTGTCTCATAGTTACTTGCATTGCTCATGATAGGCAAGGTATGTGGAGAGAAACACCCAAACTTCTATTCAGTGCTGAAATGGGACTAGCCAAATGGGTGTCTTGGCCACACAGGTGCTGTCAGAGATAGCCGAGCTTCCATCACCAGGTTGGTTGCATCTCTGGCAACCCAAAAAACTACCCCCAGTTTAATTACATTTATGACTCCCTGAAGTTTGCATGTGTTATTAGGGTGGGGCATGCACTTGCCATCATGCATGTGTGGAGGTCAGAGACCAACTTGCAAGAGTCAGATCTCTCCTTGCCTCATTATGTGGCCCTGAGGGCTGAACTCAAGCCAACAGGCTTAGTGGCAAGCACCTTTACCAACTGAGCCATCTTATTGGCTCTTGCTCTTTTTTTTGTTTTGTTTTGTTTTTTGTAAAGGAAAATACAACCCTTTTTTTTCACATTTTAAAGTGCTGCAATGCTAGAACACAGTGAAAGACCCTGGTAAGTAGATTACCCACATTCTAAGTAGCTCTCAAACGGCCACATAGAGTGTGTGTGTATGTGGTGTCCACTGAGCCATCACAGTGAGAGTGTAAAGCAGCACTCACATGGTGCCAGTCAGTCAGGTCTTACGGTAACGAACAGCAGCCAAGGACAGACGAAAAAATAAGATGGTGGTCCCTGAGGAACAACACTTGAAATTCGTCTCATTCTTGATGCCTGTTCCTTCCAGGTGCGGTTTGCAGCCTTGATTACTGTCTTAGCAGTGGCTGAGAAGCTGAGAGAGAATTACATTGTTCTGCTTCCAGAGTCCATTCCTTTTCTAGCAGAATTGATGGAAGGTAAGTCTGAAGCTAATAAACGATAATGCAGAATCCTGTGGCTACAGGCTCCCTGACACGGATCTGTTTGTTGAGTCCTCTCTGCTGTGCCTGGGGCACAAGTCAGGAAGCTGTCACCTCACAGTCACTGAGAGCAGCTTGCAGGATATTCTGGTATCTACCCCTGTGTTTGTACTGCCCTTGTGGGCCACGGCATTGTTTATGAAATAACTTCAAATATTCACATGAGTCATTATAATTGGTTGTCCACTGGAATGATGAGCTATACTTCCTGGTACTCGGTGTTAGGTGCTGACATATCTTAAAGTGGGTTCACACTGCCCCTCTAAGAAACTAGGAACTCAGAAAGTTAAAGACATTGATAATAGCACTAAGCGGCAGGTGGGGCTGCTTTAAACAGTAATACCCCTCTTCACTGACATGCCTCTCCGTACCTCCCAGCGCCCTTCATATTAATTGGGGATGGTGAGGAAGGAGAGCACTTTTGTGTCTCACTGGCTGTGCACGCTCTTTTGTGTCTGGTATTAACAAGGGCTGTGAGAGCTCCTGGAGCTTGGATTTGGATGGATGTGGCTCCTTTCTTGTGGCTTGGTCCTCTTTGGCAGCCGACAAGAACATGCCTGTGGGGGTCAATGGGGGAGGACCTCAGGTCCCAGCCTGCTGGGGAACAGTGGCTGTTAGGCAGGATGGCGGCAGGCCCACTCTAATTCTGGGTTTTGTCTGTTAGACGAATGTGAAGAAGTGGAGCATCAGTGCCAGAAGACTATCCAGCAGCTGGAGACCTTGCTGGGGGAGCCGCTGCAGAGCTACTTCTGAAGCAGATTCGAACCTGCGGCCTCAAAAGTGCTCTGTTAAAGAGTTCATTCTCATGTTCTTACGTGGGGGGTGTGGTGCTCTGTTAAAGAGTTCATTCTCATGTTCTTACGTGGGGGTGTGGTGCCATATTACTTTTGGTACTTTCACATCTGCCGATATTTAATGTTTTTACAAAATCCCTGCCTCTCGGGGCTCCCACAGAAGCCTCTCCTGCCTTATGTACAGAGTTGCAAAGGAGTAAATGGGGTGGTGTTTTATATTATACGAACTGTCTGGTATTTGTCTTTGTCCTGCCTGGTGTTGCAGCTGAGACTGGTGTGTTTAGTTTCAGTACCTGCGGCCTAGTGCTTCTCTAAAGCACGGGATCTCACTGTTCCTTGCAGTGCCTCCCTTGTGTGTGGTATAAGTGCTGTATGTACTACCACCCACAGTAGTGGTCTGGGTCAAGAAAATGGCATTCTGCAGCAGCATTCACAAAGTTAGTTCTGGGCTGTGCTTGTCTCCACTTTCATCTTTTGTGTTTGTGGGGAGGTGAAATCAGCTCTGGGGAAGGACAGCAATGCCATTGACAGTTTTGTAGTTCTCTATCTGCTATTGTTACAGTGAGGCTGAAAATGAGAATTCAAACCAGTTTGCCTTACTATTTACAGCATAGAAGAACTATTCCAAAGAGTATTCATTCTAATTTAATATAAAATTTTAATGTAGAATTATGACAAACAAAAAGGCCATTTTGCATTTTAGAGATAAAACTTAGAAATATACAATGAAACATCTCACAACTTAAATTCCAGCAGCTTTTTTTTTAAAGACCAGAATCTGGACTGAGTCTATTCAAAGTCAGTCTTAATAGCTTTGTGTAAAACAGAAAATAAGCTTTTCTATGAATGGGTTTTTATTTTTCCTGAGTGCCTTTCAGAGTTGGGGGATTCTAGAGCCGCCTGGGTTCCCCACAGATTGCCCAGTTACACACACACATCTAGAGCCTCTTGGGCTCTCCACAGATTGTCTGTCTCCCCCCCTCCCCCAAAGCTTGAGTTTTTCAATAGTTGTCAGATGGATTTCCATGAAAGGAAGGAAGGACTAGCAGTTGCACTTCCTAAAAAGTAAGAAATGCTGACAGTATTATTTCCCACGTAAGTATACATCTGTCTGGGAAAATTGGCTGTGCCTACTCCCAAGCCCTGGCAGAATTCTGTCCTGTGGTTTAGTCATAAAATGACCTGATGAAATTAGCTCTTCTCCCTCCCCGTACTATATCTGTAACAAAATCGGACTTTACCTGGGGCTTCTCCCAGCTCCAGTCAAACAACAGAAGTTACGGGAGTGTGGCAGTTGAATTTGCTGATGCAAGTTTACTTAGCAGACAGAGCAGTGTCTGACCTCACTGCTGATGGAGACAGACATGTCTTCAGACCCAGAGGGGCAAGCACTGGTTTACACTCCAACTCAACATTACCCTCCTGTGTAATTCACATTCACTGAGTCTCATTTTGATGTCAGTTACCCAAAAAGGTTTAACAAACTGCATTTATCCATTCCCTACCACACTTTGCCACAGGCACACACAGACTTGAGTGCCAATAAGCAGAAATCTGCTTGGAGCAGAACACTTGTTCTAATTCAGTTTTTTTTTTTTTTTTTTTTTTTTGCCTCAATTTTTCTGCCATGTTCAGCATATTAATTATTTTATAAAGCTTAAAGCAATGACGACTAAATAAGTGTTATACAGTCTTATAAGATATGATTGGATGCTGATTATGAAAAGGATTACTGGGGAAGTAATGTTTTCCATCCATTAGTATATTTTTCTGACCTTAACTACAAATGCCCCCTAATGGGGTTAATGCAATGTCAGCAGAAAGACCCTACTGTAAAATCATGGATGCCTGAGTGCCAGAAAACAGGGACCACACTGGTTCTGGGCACCTCTGTGTCTATGCACAGCTCAGAGAATATACACAAGAAATATGCCTTCTATCCCTATTAACTGGTATATTAGAATAGGCACTTAAACATTTGTTGAGTGTGGTTTTACAAGACGGGACCCCATGTGCAGAGCCTCACCAGCAGTAAGCTGGGATTGCCCCAGATTTGTTCCTCTGAACATAGAGGTAGCCACACTGCATGGCCAGGCCTGAGAATACCAGATAAAACTTGATGTTGTATGAGCTCAACTTAACAACATAAACAATGTGGTGAAAGCCAGATGCATTTGACATGGCCAGTATCACATAAGCCGTTTTGTATTTTAGGGTTTTGACAATCATGGTAGCTACCAGCTCCTTACATCCAGCAAACGGATATCACCATCAACAGATAATGTGTCAATACTGCTTAGCTCTTTAAATCTGTGTTTGTACTCCAGGCTATGCACACCATTTACTGCAACCTTGAATTCTCGGACATCACAGTAAATTATCATCTGAAAAGAAAGGAGATATACCATCAGTAGCTGCCCTTTGTTTGAAATTTTATGCTTTTTTTATACTAACAGACAGTCAAAAGGAAAACCATTTGGCTTGCTTTGAGCTTGGAGATGTTTCCCCAGCCTTCTACCATTGACTCCCCTTCTGAGTGACTTCACAGGCAAGGCAACCCAAATCCCCAATGTACCATGTGGCATCTCCTTCACCCACTATGTCTCACCAGATCCTTCCTTTAGAAGCCCCCCCCCCCCAATCCCCACCACCACCACCACATTCTGCTCCTGGCTTTTAGAAGGCTGTAAAGTGTCTCTCCATGTGGTATTTGGGAATTAACAGAAAACTGCTGATCACTGCCCCCCACCTATTCCCTGAGAAACTGAGTGTAACTATCCTGCCTCGATGCTAGGGTCTTGGCCATGTCAACTGATGACATTCCAACAGCTTGGGACACTTGGTAAGGAGAGCAATTACTCAGTAATCCTAAGTCTGTCCTCAATCAGAACATAATGGCCTCTCTACCTGTTTCCAAAAAGCTTGTCAGGGTCATGTTCCCAGGCTCTGCAGCTATTGGCATTTTGGCAGATGCATACCTATTGCCCACCCTTCAGATTGTTTTCCTAACAGTAAACCTAACATCCAAAGCCAGTATCCTGTTACACTGCCTGAACACCTAACCCTGTGCTTCACTGCCACATTCTTAAGGTCAGTAGGCTCACTGACTGTACCAAGTGGCCACTCACTGAAAAGGCCAGTTTGGTGTCCCTGCACTGTGCTCCTTGCCACAGTGAAGCCTTTAGAAGTCAGCACAGCTAAGACTAGAGTATCAAACTTAAATCTGCAAAGACCCTTGTTATGGTTCTATTCTTTAGATGGTAGCAATGGGAAAAGCTACCATAGGAAGTCAGGACAAGGGACAAATGAGCACATAGCATAACTGACTAGACCGAAGTAGTGCTACACAGGGAACTGGGGAATTACCTACTACTTGAGCTATCTCCCCAAGAATGGGGGAAATCCCAAGTTCAACTAGCTGGAAGGGATATTGGGTGACATATATTTAAGAAATCTCGGATCATAATTCAATCTCCTATTGTATAGCTCAACAGAAAAGGGGTGGAGATGTAGGGCAAGAAGCCGGATGCAATCCTAGCAAGTTCCCCCTGTTGTAACAAATAAATGTAAAATCAACAAGTGGAAACACTGCAGCAAAACGCGCACAGGAAGAAGGCATGTGACCTGCAGAGTATTCTCCTAGAAGAGGAAATGAAACAGCAGACACCACCCCCCACCCCACCCCCAAC